GCAGGAGGAATTCGGGGGAGCACGCCGGAGGGGTTGCGCGTCTCGCGACGGGCCGCTGACGGCGCCCGATTTGTTTCCCCCGCCGTCTGAAGCGCCTGCGAGGAATGTGGAGAGTTCATGGCCCATAAAGCCGTCCACGCTCCAGCAAGTGGGGAGGGAGGCGAAAGGTGAAGGTGGCGGCGCTGGCACGGATCGGCAGACCTCACACAAGGTGCGCAGCGCTGCGTGCCTTTGAGGCAAGGCAGAGCAGAAAGACAGGATCCGGCCCCTGCCCCGCCATCCCCCCCCTTGGAGTATTCCATTTCGCCGCTGTAGGGATGATCCAAACTAAGCCGTGGAGGGAAAAGGCTCGGAATTGACTCCCCCCTGAGCCTTTGGGCCGGCCTGGTTCGCCCCGCCGGGAGCCGCGGACACCTACCTCGCCGGGCTAGGGTGAGGATTCGAGAGACGACCGCCAAGCGCCTGGAGGGAGCGGGGCGTGGAAGCGCTGCGCGCCCACGGTGGCCACCCCACGGCCCCGGCAGGAACTCCCCCTTGTTCCCCGACGGCAGGCGGCGCGTCATCGGCGAAGGAACGCCCTCCCGAGGCGGCGGGTGGCTCCGGGACCTGCGGGCCAGGAGGCGGTGACGTCCGAGAAGCGACGGGGCGCCGAGGCGGGCCGATCCAAACTTGGGGCGGCTGCTGAGGAACAGGTCGGCCTTGGCTAAGCGTCCATCGGGGGAAGCGGGCCGAAGCCAATCCGTGGGATCCGAAGGCAGGTGCGGGTCTCCGTCTTTGAATTCCACGCGGCAAGTCTCTGCCGGACCCCTGTGAGGCTACAGGACCCTTGGGCGCTCTGATGTCCGCGGGATTTCACATCACACGCCACAGGTTGAGCCGATGGTCTTCAGAAGACGTCCCACAAAACACAAGCACTAGGCTAAGCGGGCAAGGCGATCTGAAGGGCAGCCGCTTTATTCCATTTCAGCGGCATTCAGTTCATGTGAAATACAAAAAGCTAGCATTCTTAGGCACACGTGGGCGCGCACGCACGCACGCACACGTGTTTGTTTACGAGTGCTAGCTTTTTGTGTTTCACAAAAAACGTGTCTTCATGCGGTGTGTTTGTAGTCACCTGTCTTGGAAAAAAAAGTGGCAAACGAGTGCGACTCCCTGGCTAAAAGGATTGCCAGAGAACCCTCCGCCCGGCTTCGGTCCGCAGTCGGTCCGCGTCGTTCTGCGTCTCCGCCAACAGGGGGCAGCCTCAACCGCGAAACGACGCGAGCAGGAAAAGAACGGGGCCCCCTAAACTTCGAATTGTGCTCTCTCTCTCATTCTTTTAGTTAATATTAATTATTACTTCAAGGGGTTCGTTCGAATCCGGGAGAAGAGGCCGCTTTTCTCCGGAAGAGACAACAGCCCTGCCTCTCCTCTCCTTTCGGCTCAGCAAAGCCACGGACTGAGCCGTGGAGCCACTTTTCAACATCCGGCCGGCGGGGGAGGTTGGGGAGCGGAGGCGCCCCTGAAATCAATTAAGGAGACGGAACCGTTCTCAACTCCTCCAGAGAGCCCTGGTTTCGAGGGGGACGGGGGGGAGGCAGCCCGGCCGACGAAAACAAGGTCTTGTACAGATTGCGCCTCTTCTCCCACCGCCGGGATTGGGAGGGGGGGGGGACTCGCCTGCCCGCCAACGATCCTGCCTTACTTTAGAGGAAGGGGGGAGGAAGCAAATACAGGGGGTCTGGAAAGCCTGTTAGGGCATCTGGTTTTATGGCCGCCGTTTTAATACGAGCTTTACCTTGGGTAAGTAGGCATGCCGGCTGCGGAGCCCCCTCGGCTCTGGTGGGTTGTAAAAACGCAGGAACAATCGCCGAGACAGGCGGGCCGGCTCGACAGCTTTCGAGCCTGTGCCAATCCCACCCCACCTTGCCCGGGAGGGCCTTTTTTCCCCCTTCTTTTTTTTAGGAGGAAGGGGGGGGTGTTTTCTAAAGAAAGGGCCGCAAGTAAGTCCAAGGTTTTATAGCCTTTGGGGTTGTGTGTGTGGTTTTTTTTGAAAAGTAAAAAAAAGCCACAAAGAAAGCCACTCATACGCCCAACGCCAGGAGGCAAAAGAAAAAAGATTGCCTTTTCTCCCCGCTCAGGTTCTATTCCAAATAAGATTAAATCCCAGAACTTTTTTTTTTTTTTGCTTTGTTTTCCGATTTAGGCGCTCTCGGGCCTATTCCCACCCCCCACCCCCAAAAGAGAGGTATTTGTTCCTGGGTGAAACTGAACTCTCGCTGACCCCGCGACTGTAACTAATTTAGCATACAATTGACAATTAAAAACAAACATACGGGCGCACACGCACACACACACACCAGCTCTTCAACTGCAGAGCATCAAAGGCGTCCGGGAGGGCAGAGGAAAAAGTGGCCCGTCGTCTCTCCCCCCCCCCCCCCCCTCCCCCCCCCCCTCTCACTCCTTCCTCCCCCCCCCCCCCCCCCCTCTACTGTTGTGACATGCCCCAGCCGCATTCCGGCCGCAAGCACCGGCAGTGTAACTTGAACCTTTCAA